AATAACTTGCGACACTGTTCCTTAACAGCTTCACTTTCAATCTTTTTGCTAATTGTTGATTCTAATGAATCTGTTCTGATGACTATTGAAATTTAAAAACATAAAGTTAATTGCATTGAAGTGTGAAGGCCTATATGGTGTTAGCAGAATAGAAAGCTTGCAGCTTAAAGACTGTCAAGTGCCAGTAACAAAATAAAGAGTCAGAAATGGAATAAACGACATCCAATTCTGTTGTCAAAGGTAATTTAGTATTAGAAAGCTAACATCAGMAATTGAATTGATTGTCAATTCATGAGCCATAAGAAGAAATACTCAATTTAATTTTTGAAATAGAACAAAAAGGTAGTTAAATAGAAAGCCAATTCAGTGTCAGTAGTTTACCTTGCTTTTTAGGTCCCCATCGATTACTTAAAGGTAAATGAACAGTAAGGTCTTCTAAACATGACATTTGAAGCTCTGCCTGGCCTAACTCATCAAGCAGTACAAACAATGGATCATCTTCTGTTAATGCCTACAACACAAGACAGTATTACAGTACTGAAATAGAAGGCATCTATTGGAATTTGTCTCCCATTGTCTTGTTTAGACACCGCATGGTCTATTACCAGTACCATGTGATCACTTATATACAGCTATTTCAAAAAACGTTGTTGGGAGAACGGCAAATGCCAATTGTCGAAATGAGATTGCGCGACCGAAAGGGAATATGGTTACCTGTTTTGATAAACAAAATTTCACTTATTGGATTCACCTTACATAGAAATGGAGACTAAATGGAGTCAATGTTTACCACAGACCACCTTACAGTACAAATCAGTTAATATTGCCTTTCAACTAGCAAAACCCATGGCTACTTTCGGTCGTGCAATCGCCGTTCGACCATTGACATTCGCCATTTCATCCGACAACCTTTTTTGRAATAGCTATATACTGAGAGGAACTAATGATGAACAATGAACTGAGCAGTATACAAAAATCTTTATTAATAGAAACTAATGTGTTGCTTTTTCTTTGTTTTTTTTGTTTTTATTTCAGTAGGTAAATTCTTCATGCTTGTTGTCAAWTCTTTGACAATGAGAAACAACAAGACCTGATTCAGATGTTGATATTTATYTTTTTACATTTTATTTTTACATATTTCTTTTTTTAATTTGTTCAGTTGGATGAACTTACTATAATCTGTAAAAGTATAGTATATATACTGCAAACTTCTCAYGAACTACATGCAAGCAGTTAGATTAGATCAAACTTACCAGGTCATCCTTGTATTGAAGTAACAATTCATGGATTTTATTCATCTCATTTAAAGTTATAGAAATGCTGATATTCTTTGATAAYGACAGGTAGTGTTCCATCTAGAAACAACAAAACATTGACTGAATTGAAACAAAATAATGTACATGTAGTACACAGTATGGATAATACAACTGTTAAAGGGTTCTTCTTCTTACAGAGTGTTGAATTATGAGTATACTATGCCGTATAAAGTATATTAATTTATATATTAATTAAACATCATTCTATAATAAGACTCACTTCTAAACTTTCATGGAAATCTTGCACAGAACAMAGATCTCTCAAGAAAGACTGCATCAAGTCAACATGTTCCAAAGCAAATGGTTGCAGGGGTTGCATGTATTCCTCCTTGAAGTGACTTGTAACAATATTTTTATTGGCCATACTCTGAAGGATCTTRGCAATCTAAATAAACAATTTGTAATCAGTTATTCCAAGAAAGTAATCATGAAAATATGGTGAATGAAGTTGAAAGAAAATGATGACAATAATTTATATAATGTAATGACAATAATTTGAGATAACAATAYATGTAGCACATAATATCAAAGTTTTGAGAGACTTTATTCTGCTTTTGAAAAGCCAGACAAATCATGAACCCACACCTTAATTATTCTGCAATTTATTAATATATTGGAAAAATTTCAAGACAGTTAAAAACAGCAATGATGATGATGAAAAGAATGCTAAGTAGCTTCAAGGCTAAACTAAAAACATTTTGTGAAATAATTTGTTTAGACTGGGTTTATAGTGTTAAGTGCTCATAGAAATGTACTATAATTACGATACTGATGACGATGATGACGTTAATGATGATGATGATTATTATAACAATCATGTAAACATTTACCAAAGTTAAGTTTCTTCTCATAGTTTGAGAGGGCTGTTTACTAGTCAACATATGAGCTGCAATTATAGAAAGATTACATGCATCAATATATCATAATACAATACTTACAGATTTTAATAATGATAAATTAAAAAAAAACAATTTATTAAATGTCAAATAGAAATTCTTGAATTTTCTGAGAAGGTGCAAAAAACAATTCTACAAACAAATTCAAAATACCTGAAGGAGTTACAATYGCTGGATTCAGAAAACGTAATAAAAAAAATCCACCAACCATAGAACTGACTTGCTCCACTGATACATCAGGGTATTTTTCCTGGAAAAGAATAAGTACCTTATCAATATTTTGTTAAACAGGAAAAGAAATGGTAACCTTCTCATCAGCTGAAGACATAATATTCCAACCCTACAATCATAACAAATTATTTATATCTTTGTAATATGTTACCATAGCGAGAGTCTTTATTGCCCCACACAGCCACCTTATTCCATATGGTACTTTATCCAGTGAACTAACAATGATTCCAAGAAAGAGGGATGCAACATCAACAAGTTTTTTAATACTTGAGAAACAGTAAAGGAAATATTAATTTTAATGCTTTATGGATTAACTAAAATTGAGGCATATATAATCATTGATTCAATGTAAAATGTCCAAAAAGGATATGAATTCTAGTCTTCAATTGTACTTCGGGATCATCCATAGCCTTAAAGAAGGATTAATTATTAATTAGTATTGCAAAATTATTATCTCTCTTTTTCAGCTCTACTTCCTGTCTTCCACAAAAGACTGAGGGAGACTGGTACCCAACTGGGAATGAACGTCCCTACTTGACCAAGATATCAACACAGTAAAATCATAAAAGAGCAACAGGAAAGTTTGCCCGCTGAGGAGGAATGAACATAATCCTCATACCTTTTCTATTGTAAGCTGATTACTCTCATCTTGAGGATGCCCATATATTTCTATATAAACCTAGAAAAGAAATGTTATTAGTAATATATTTCAATGACACACAAAACAATAACAAAATGATCATGGTAAAATTGATTACCATATGAAAAAATAATGGAAAGAGTGCAGGAGCATTCAAATGAATAGCAATAAATAAAGGAACAATGAATAAACAAACAAATAAATAAGTAACTAAATGAAAAAAGATTAATAAAAAAATGTACAATAAACAAACAAAAATGAATGAGCAAATAAACAAAAGAGTGAATAAATGAATGAATGCACAAAAAATAAAAAAAATAAATAAAAAATTTAAATAAAAATTGAATGAAAAAATGAATGAACAATTCAAATGAACCAATGGACTCACTAAAATAATGCTAACAGTACTGTATGTATGCAAACCTTTATAGGGTTGATTTCCAGAATCAAGTCTGGTTGAGATAAGAGCTCATGTAAAGGTTCCTCAAGTGTCAACTTTAAGTATTCCTGACCAGGTCCTCTCCTATGAACATCAAATAAATAATCATACTCATTGCTTGCAAAAGATGGGTTTCCTATCTCATTTTCAAAATCACTGATTTATAGTAAAATGTGAACAGCTTCTTGTATTGACTGTTCATCAAAATATTTATTATGATTTATTATATTTAGCCTTTATACAAATTATTTAGAGCTCATCCCCCCTCCTCCACCCCCTCCAAAAGTAAGAGGTGTCCACAGGAAACCCATCAAGATCAATTCTACTGAGTAACAATCTAATTATAATAATAAATATCAAGGTTTTCTACAGCTTATGTACTAAAGTAAAATGGTCAGTATTCTGTATTRTTACCTTGTATAAGTTGTCATCATTCTTGAAATAGCAGTATTTGCTCTTAGCAGACTGTTAAAATTTTCACACTCATCAAATTCATACTTAAGAGCCAACTGAAATGTGAGGAATAATAGAGGAGTGAAAAAATAATTTCTACACAATAAAACTATAATAATAACTATGGATATAGAAAATATACAGTTTACTTGACAACAACAAAAAAACAAAACACTAAAAGATCGACAGCTAATCATAATCAAAACAATAGATCAAACCATTCCCCTTGAGAAGTAGGATGTTCAAAGATGAATGTAAAAAAAATTAAATGGACAGATRGTCAGACAGAAAGATAATTACCTCGAACATTGATAGTAACAAATACTCTTCCCTTGCTTCATACTGGTTACCATATAAAGAAAACATCACAGGTTGCAGCAATGCTGAGAATAAAATTATAAAATGTATTAAAAAATGACAATCACACTCCATTTTTCCTTTTCCCTGTCCAAGTCAATACTTTTGTTTTCCTTTCTTTAATATAGTTAACTTAATAATACATATCTTCATATAACAACTTTGAAATATTTATCTCTTTTTCATGTAAAATATKTTCTTAATTTTTAAGCTGCTTGAATAAAAAATTTCCAATTTCCCATTTTCTATTTCTATCTATTTCACTCTTTACTAATTATCTTCCTACAACTGTCTTTTATTATTTAACATCGCTACTTGAATTGAAATTTTCCATTTTTTTCTCATTTCCCATTTCCATCCATTTCCTTCTTWAATACTTGTCTTCATATAACTGCATTTTAATATTTTTGGTTTCAATTTCCAATTTCCAAATTTTAGCCACTTGAATTGATTTTTTTTTCATTTCATAATTGACTTTCAATTAGAATGTCAATAAGCTTTCTATTTGAAAACAAGATAGTGTCAGTTCAAGTGTCAAAAACAAAACTATGGGGCAAACATAAGTTGAAGCCATGAGCTGATCTGGTGAAGATAGTAATCACATTATAATAAAATTGTGCCTTTTATCAATTATATCTTGAAAAAAGATATTAAATTTATTATATGGCCCTGCACATGTTTTTTGGGGGGGTTAAATATAATTATCTAATTGCAAAAATGTCATTTATGTCTGATTAAGTGACAAAAAGATTGTTTCTGCTTGCATTGTCTTCTTTTGTCTTTAATAATCAAATCCATCATGTGACTGGTTTCTGCATTATCTGTGTTTGTAATTTGGTAAAAATTAATTTTTGGCAATAATCCATCATGGCATTGCCATGCTAGTGTTTTGTTTACAAACTGTCTCAGCAAGAGACAGTGATTGTCTCTCYTGACTTGAATTCTACAAACACTATTGCACAAAGGGAAAGAAACATTGAATATTGCATTTCTTTAGTTCTAGCATGTAAAACGTCTGTTATTTCTTTCTTTTTAAGGCACAAGACAATACTCTTGACATAAATGGAAAATCATGCATCAACGATTAGTGACACCACCTCAGTATATTTTGTTCTGATACTGAAAGCATACCTATCTACTTTTATTAGAAAATGTGCCGCATTTCCTCAGTAACCCAGCAACCATGACAGATGTTTGATACCTGGGAGTGACATGTCAATTCCGCRGAAGCGTTGAAGCTTAACAGAAAATATATTGAAGACTGCAGCATCAGTTTTAGATGTAAATAGTGATAGAAAATAATTATAATAAGATCTCCAACAAAAATCTAACTAAAGCGGAAAATAAAAACAACTYGTTTACAGAGAAATATTTTTACTACAATATAGATGTGATCACTACAAAAGGACTGTACAAGCCAATTGTCACCAAAAAATCACAATACAACAATAGCTCATAACAAATCTGGAACTACAACTAAAATTATAAAACTGATTCACAAGTTTGTATCTCCTGCGACRGCAACTGCCATTTTGAATTAATTAATTAAGCTTAGAATACCAAATATAGTTAAAAACTTCTGAATTTTCAGCTTCTGACATCTGGACCAACCACACGAGAAAAATATTCCATTACAAGGAAAATATTAAAGCTACTTACAATCGATCTCATTGAGGGAGACAATTCTTGTAAGCTGAGCCAGATAGTATGGTTCAGTCTGCAGTAGGTAGAAGAGGTTTCCATATCGCTAGAATAAAATAAWGCTCAAATGTTAATATGCTCTTAATTACACACAGAAACAATAGCAAGTTTAGAGCCCTTTTTTAAGAACAGTTTGTTAAATGAATTATKAATTATTAATTCATTATCAATTATATTGTAAAGATGTATCTACAATGGACTCTAGGGTAAAAAAGCATAATGTCACTCTATATTAGCAATAAGACTATACACAATGTACTTAAAAATTGATATGAACATAAAAGAATAAATTCCATGATGTTTTCAACCAACATTTTGGAGCTTTATATTTAAATGTTTTTTTTTTCTGCCTAAAATGAGTTGAATACAGGTTCATATTCATGCACACCATTTTGAGGAATGCCCCCCCTCCCCCTGGCTGACTCAAGCCTCAAGGGATAATAAATTTCCTTTCAGCGAATTTACAAGACATGATAAGAAAATTGGTGTTCACAGTGGATGATAATAGAAACCTTGTTCATTGTCATGCTCACCTGCCGTTTTAATTCATCCTTTATTACACCTGAAAAACAGGAGATGGTCAAGCAATTGTGAATGCAATCCATGAATTAATCCACRAACACCTGTCCGCTAAGAGAAAGACGTTTTCTAAGCCGGCTTCATTGAGGGGTTTAAGTGTTGATCCCACTTACTTTCTTGATCCATTTTCCAGGATCTCAAAAATTATTATTAGAAATTATAGGATTTTAGTAACGATGATCATCAGATATTGATATAATATAAATAAAGTATAGATTGCTTTTGTTTATTGGTTAAATAAAGAATGCAAACATGTTGCCTTACTTTGCGAATTCGCATTGACAAAAAGAATAAGGGACATTCTAGAACCAATTGGTGGSAATATAAGAATGGTTTCATTTTGTAAAATAACAAAGTAGGTACACTTTCTCAAGAACTTTGACTTATCAGATGTTTATTTTTCATGGCAGTGAGAATCAATCTATGCTAAAATATGGATGCATAAATGAAAATGGATTAGAAGTCTTCAGGTTTCATTCAACAAAAAGAACTTTTTTGTTCAATACATAAATATTATTGTCTTGGCATCAAAATATTTTTTTATACCTAAAGAATATAATTTATTTTCAAAAACAAATGCAATAGCAAAAAAAAAAACAATATAATTTTTGTTATTTTCAAACTGAAATTTTTGCTTTTCATTTCATATAAAAARATATCTACGTGAGGAATTGTGAAAAGCTAATTTATTCAATTTCATTATATTTGTAATCAGCCGAAATGCTCACTTCACATGCATAAAATCCCATTACAATTCACAAGAGTAAATTTACTGAATGAACTCAATAAAATAAGGAAATGGAGAGCTACAACAACACAAAATTACTTTCGAATGGATTAGCATAATAACGATTCCACTTATCGTTTCAACCTATATTTTTCCACTGTTTCAGTTTCAATCTCAAAAGGAACAATAATTATTTGCTGTAACAGGCTACTTGACAATAAACTTCCACGGCATTTACACACTTCCCATTGAATAATCTGATGCTATACAAATAAAACTTCAATAAATTAAGCAAATACTGTCAGATATTATACAATTTGAAAACAGAACAAAAACTAACATTAGCTTTGTGAAATTTGAAACAAGTCGAGCACGATTAATTTGAGCTTAAACACTATCCCGTGACTTTTAATGTGGTTTATTGAATTGTAAATTTAAGTTCATTTGTTAGACATTGAACTCATAAAAGTTTACGATTAATAATCTGAGTAATTTTGTAGGTTTTTCATGCTTTTACTGTAGATAAATTAGCTGATGAACGGGATCTGAAAGAGTGCCAAGATTTATGTGGTGGAGTAGGGGAGCAACGGGGGGACTTACCGACTCTGCGATCTCCATCACCTAACCGATCAGATAATTCCTATAAAAACAACAACAAACAAACAACTAAATACACATGGAATATGGCAGTTATTCCTTGTCCATTTGTCACACATTTGATGAATTGATTTTAGAGTTACGGCAGGTCTCACCTCAAATGCAATCCGATGGTTTATCAGAAGAGCTATTCTCTGGTCAAAGAATCGAACATCTTTCTCTAACTCATAATTCTTTTTGCTACGTTCGGAGATTTCTTGCTTCAAAATTTTAAGCCTCTTTTGGACTGAAAAATAAACGACGTTCCACAAATGAGTTTGAAAGAACATCACTGAAGTGAGTCGAAGATCAGCTCTGATCATAAAACTTACTAGATCTTAGTTTATCTCCTTGCTGAATATCTGGAGCACTTACAGCCGCCATTTCACCTCGAAACWCTTTAGTATTTTCTCAATTTCATTCAATATTTAGATGGATGGTCGAGTTTGACAAGCGGCCTCAACGGCCTATGACCCACACGTTCTTGTCGTTCCCGCGCCTCGTATAAAATTTCAGAGCGTCTGTCGTCGGCGTTAAATCTGTTTTCGTGAATTGGCCACAAACTCTACATCTTCCCTTGTTATCTCAAGCACTGTACTYCATACGCATCTACTAAACTGTCCCTCAAAATAAAAGTTTAACTTGATCCTCGTTTGACCGCGAATTTACCTCGCTCCCTCCTTCCAATCTTGGCGAATGTTTTGCCATGTGATAATAAAACCACGTGACTTCGTGTCATCCGACCGTGGCTAGGCATTTCCGGCGGAAACGAATTGACGTCCTCATTTTCCGCGATTGTAAGAAAATAGACATTTCGTAAAAATTTGCTGATCTCTAGAAGAACTTTAGTAATGCTTATGTAATGATAAGTCATGTACTATATGTGATACTCACGGATTGCGTCAGTTTATTTTTCAAAGGCCAAAATCGTGTAATCATTTTGCTCGAAGGCACGTGTGCGCTTGACCGGGCATTTACGTAAAGTTAAGTACCATTTATCAAGTGGCGAACTATTTTGAGCCTAAAAAATTTAATGAATTTCATCAATATATAGATATTTATTTGATCAAGAATCTTGCATGTTCCACTTACTTTGCTTTGTTTTTGTGTGTATTTTATTTTTTTGTAATTGTGAACTAGGACAGTTGAATGGGAAATATTGATTTGATAARCGGTTATGACTGATTTTAACTCCGAATTTTGACCAAAAATTGGGAGGGACTGGGGCCTCATACTCATCTAAAAATTTAGCGTTCAAACACAAAGACTGCTATGTCAGAGAGTCCTCCTCGAGGAACTATGGAAACCTGGTTATAGAAGCTCAGCGGAAGGAAAGTAAGGAAGGGGGTGCATGGACTCCTACTACTGACCTTGTGTTCTCCTAAAGTAACAAAATACGGCCACACCCATGATGACACTTATTCAGATATGAAAACCACAAATCAATTGTAGTGTTTAAAACTGCGATAAAAAATAACAACAAAGTTTTCCTTGTCTGAAAGGATCTTGTAAGATTGCTCCAGACGCCGCCGCGGTTTAGTTAATTGTCAGTATTTAATGTGGGGTCACTGTTTTTCTTAGAGGAAAGGGTCAAGATTTTTTTAGCTTATTTTAAGGCAACTCGAGATTTCCAAACGGGAGATGTGATTCGCTTGTTTCTGAGACTGGGAAACGGGAATTAATGCAATTGGCAATGGATTAATAATTGAAAGAATAGTAGAATTATGATAACTGGAAAATAAGTAAAACATGAGGTAACTTGATTTTTGAATTTGTGATTAGATCAAAAATTTACTCAGCATCAGAAATTAAAATGTTTTACTGCTCTGAAATACATTTTCAATCCTTATTTTTAAATAGTGGTTAAAATTGGCGTGACTACATTTCATAATGCAGAGTGTGACACGTCGCGCAAGTCAAAGAATAAGCCGATCCAGAGTGAGTCCTGGGAATGAGRGTGCTCCCCTGCCATCTTTTGCGAGGTCTCAAGAGTAAGTATTATCTATAACAAGTTTTTTGCAGCATATTGTTTTTAYAGAAGTTATTTTCAGACATTTGTAATCGTTTTTGTTTCTGCGGGCGGAATCTCAGGTGTGCGTCTGTACTTTCAACTTCCTCGTGGTCTKAGCTCAGATACTATAAAATTGCTCAAGAACAAAATGGCGGAAGAACTGACTGAAGTTTCAAGTAATGTCTGCTACGGAGGCTACCAGAAAGTCTTTTCACATAAAAGGTTAGAGAACTTGTAATTATGGATAATATTCAATATTCTACAATTGTTTAAGGTTGGAATGGAAGCAAGAGTTGTTATCCATTTGCCAATAAGAATCAAACCAGATTTCTTTCTTGACTAATTGCAGTACCGAGYTAGATTGCGTTATGAAGTTCTCCGTCTTTTTACCACCTCAAGCAGAATCAGAAAAAGTCCCTGTATTGTATTATCTATCAGGTAGTTTGAAAATTAACATATAAATATAACATAATAACAATTTATCATCGTAAACTATTGTATCAACACCAATGGACCAATGGATATGAGCAAACTCCTGCTATTATTGGCTACTCTACCTTTAATGTATCACTTCATACCTCATGAGTAGAGAAAATGATTAAATGTTGGATATTGGGTGATTTGGAGTTAATATTGTGAAATAAGTTTAATCTTGCCTTATATAGATGACTGCCGACCTTGTTAACAATTTGATTGACAGCTTCAGTTGTCCCTAATTTGATTCTTTGTATTATATTGTGATTGAAGGCCTTACTTGCACAGAGCAGAATTTCATGTTAAAAGGAGAAGCAAGACGGTATGCAGCTGAGGAAGGCATCATGATTGTTGGACCTGATACAAGCCCAAGTAAATGATTATTTTTATCATTCGTAAATTTAAATAATGGACTGAGCATTAATTATTGCCAATAGGAGTGTGGTGTGTAGACAAGGGATATTTTTTCCAAAACAGACTGTCAATATGAGGGTAAATTTTTCTTCRTTAAAATAATATGAAGAGGGTGCAATTTTTGCCAAAGAAAAATTGTGGGGGCAGTTTTTTTCCCTTTTTTTATTGGTAGTTACATGCTCTTGACAATGATTAGCAAACAGTCCCTAAAATGATTAATTTGTGAATACTATAATTTTTATGTTTTTATGGGTCTTTATGTTTTATGCAATCTTCAAATTTGGTGTTATTATCATACACACCACACACCACTTTACTTTGCAGGAGGGTGTAACATTGAAGGTGAAGACGATTCTTATGACTTTGGATCAGGAGCTGGATTTTACCTTGATGCTACTGAAGAAAAGTGGAAGAAAAACTACAGAATGTTTACATATGTCACACAAGAGGTGATTTATAATATAACCAGAATATTTTTTTACACAATTAATTTCTTTCCATTTATAAGATATCCCTWTTACCACTCATGACCCATTTAGAGGTGGTCTATAATAAACAAAAATTGGGAAAGGAAAGCAATAAAAATATAGTGGYGATGAAAAGGTCAAAATTTTTTGTATGTGATACTGAACACAGTGTTCACCAGTGCTAATATTACAATAATTGTCTTTCAGCTTCATGACCTCATTCAAAGCAAATTTCCAGTCGTTTCCAACAAGCAGTCCATTATGGGGCACAGGTAAAGCATTACCATACTTATACCTGCACATCACGGTTTAGATTTGACAATTTATTGATACTAGAAAGGAGAAAGCAGTCTATAAACATTCACAGAACTAAAATCTCTGAGTCGTTTGCATTCATTAACATCAATTCAATGCACACAGAGAGGTATTTCAACATAGTTAGTAGACTATGATTTCAAAGAATGTTAAAAGTAATTTATACTTTTGCTTATATTTATTGTTGCTAAAAACATCATGTTATCTGGATGATGGAGACCAAGTCCTCCTTCTCCAGATTATATATTAACCAGTCATAATTTGTTTGACTTTTTCACTCATCAAATTTATTGTAACAATTAGTATGGGAGGTCATGGAGCTTTGGTTTGCGCTCTGAAGAAACCTGGCTTTTATAGGGTAAAATAACGATTTCTGAATTAATATAAGAAAAAAAAAAACAGTAAATTTATAAATGTAGATTAAGATTTTCAAGCCATTGCAAAATCATAACAATTGTTACATTGTTTTCCATAGTCCGCCTCAGCATTTTCCCCTATTTGCAACCCCATGAAATGCCCATGGGGACAGAAAGCATTCACAGGTTACTTGGGACCAAACCAAGGTGCTTGGAAGGTAATACTTTAGTCAATTCCCTTGTATTGCAAAGCAACTAATTGTATTTTCTGTTTGCCYTGTTTAAGGAGTATGATGCCAGTGAGCTAGTCAAGAAGTATAGTGGACCACCACTAGATATTTTGATTGACCAGGTAAAAAAAAATATTTATATGATGAAAAATGAACGTGTATATAGCTGGTGTTGTTTTGGCATTTGAGCATCTATTAAACGATGAGAAATATCAGTAGCTTGACACTTATAGAAACTTTGTTCAGATCAGTGTTCCTCAATCCATCTTTTGGATGTAGTGACCTTATGAAGTAACTTTAGGTTTTAGGTTTTAACTGAGAATAGCACAATAATTGTGCATATTGATGTTTGCAATTTGTTTTATTTGAGAGTCATCTACATGATAAATTGCATGTAAATGTTGAAAATTTGATGAAAGTTCTTATTTCCCCCCCTGTATCACAGGGTACAGCAGATGAGTTTTACCCACACCARCTCCTACCAGATAATTTAGTTGAAGCAAGCAAATCCACCAATGTCAAAGTTACACTGAGGATGCAAGAGGTGAGTGCCATTCCCAACTTGGGCCCCCCAAAGGATGTCAATGCTCACAATATTTCACTCGATATTTTTTTCTGAATGGTCAAACACAAAAGAATTAATGAGATTTTTAGGCTGCAGGAATTCACAAAACTTTTGAAAATGGGCTAATTCAACCCTAATAAAAGTCACTAAAATTTCCACGCTCAATCACGGGATGGAAAATATTTTAAGCAATTTCCTATACAAAATGTAATATATTTAGAGATTTGTAGTTCTGTAACATTTTTTCAAACCTAAACCAAGAAAAAATCATTTCATGAACTTCATATGAACGTACATCAGGAGACCATTACTCCTGCTTTAGGTTTCATCATTAATACTTATTTCACTATTCTTGAACTCAGTTGTTGCCATTCCACCCTAGTTATTTATGGACATATTAAATTAATTTTGTTTGTATTCCAGGATTATGACCACAGCTACTATTTCATTTCAACCTTTATGGGAGATCATGTGAAACATCATACCAAGTACTTGAAAGCTTGAGCGTAGCAACACCCTTTTAGCGACAGTGCAGACGTACAGGATAAAGACAGCCTAATCAGCCAAGTGTGTGAGATAGAATAAATCAATAAGACTGAATTGATTTAGAAATGTGTAGGATATGGATCATCAAATGATTGTATTTTTACAGTAACTAAGGAATAAAATTTAAGTTGGATAAAGAAAGTTTTCATGTTTTGCTTTAAGTTAATCGCAACACGGATAGAAATTAACTAACTATCTAAATCAACTAAGAAATATAAATTAAATATAAATTAAATTTCCTTCTTATGACAACTTTTTTGCTATGATGTTCAAATAAAGATTTAACTTACCCATTTATCGTATATTTTTGAGGTTATGTATTTTCCCGCATTCGGCGCTTCATCGACATTCGCTTTTGACCGCCAAAAATATTTTGCGGATTTGGCGCCTTCGCACCTTAAATTCCCGCCCTTTTTGTACACGCGCGTGTATACAACAAGCATGCGTAAGCGTGCGAAACAAAATGGCTGCGTCTGTGTTCATCTCAAGTCTGTCTGCAAAGAGGAGTTTATCCTTTTGTACCTGYGWTATCTTGGCTGCTGAACGCTAAACATTTTGCTGAATTATTTCTCAGTATTATCATCAACGCAAAACGTCTCTAGTTGTGAATTTAGAAATATATTCAGCTCTTTGCAGATTTTAATACGTGTAAGTCTTAAAATTCAAGTAAGTTAAGGTATTTGACATTTCTTTATAAATTACATCTTCATTTTTGTCTCGACTATTCGTTTAATGTTAATGTTACCACAATCGTCGGCTTGTATCCTTGTTGTTCAATTCAAGTTGMGGATATCTCGTCAAAATTTAGGGTGTGAATATTGAAGATTGAAAGAGCTAATTTTTTCTTTTCAGATGTAAAGAATTTCAGTGCGTTACGCTGATATAATGACATCCCCATCGTCAGTCGCTCAATCCATAGTRAACTGTGCTCGGATTCAATCTTCAACTGGTATGAAAGGTATAAACTCACAAAACTGCAAAGACAGGACTACCAAAGTCAGGAAAAGTCTGAGAGTAAAAATTTTTAAACGTCGGGGATGGATGAATTTTAATAGTCTGGGCAGTTTTGACTTTGAAAAATGTAATTGGATTTTACATTGGGTCGAAAATATTCAAAAGTGCTTTGATTTTTCATTTTAGAATCGGYAAACCGTGAAAGAAATCTGCTGGATTCTCATGGTGGTGTTGCATATGACTATGAGACTCTACCCAAAATAGTGGCTGTCCATTCTCTTGTTGTCAAGAATGATTGTTGTGTGCCGCCTCCTTGTTCAGAGCATTCTAYTTCAATGTCACAAGTAAGCTCTTTTATGAATACTGTTTATATTTTCATAAGAKTGTATTTTTCATCAAAGGTTGATCAGTCATTCCACATATTAGTATATGCTTGTATTGGCATATGATAGCATTTTACTGATATTACTCATCTTCAGCTGGGCACAATGATTGAACATCTCATGCATTTTTTTTCTATTTTGCAATGTAGCAGAACAGCTCACTTCACCATTCTTTGCCAGATAAAGATACAAATAATCATTATAAAGAAAAAGTTTTATCRATCAGATCAGGTACACCATTTTTCAACGCACATAGCATGAACCCACTGGTAAGGACTTCCAATCCACATTATAAGCACCTGTGTGARCAGTCTGCASATACATTAACTGGGCGAAATCCAAACCTATCCAAAGTGTTTTTAGATTATCAAATAATACCTCCAGACTCTACATGTCCAGGAGACAAGTCTTGCTATACTCGTACAAAAGCAAATCCAAAACAAAGTAAAAAGAATGAAATTGTGAGTGTATTATCACCACAAACTGCTGTTATGTCAAGTTCTTTTTCTTGTCAGCCATGTGCTGGTGGAGATAGTAATATGAATGTAGAATCAGCCAACAAACTACAGCAACCACTTGCTTCTCCTAACAAAAATCAGTGCTCTTCCCTGCTGTGTTCTTCTCAAAGTGTTAAGAATAGCTATGTGAAACTGGTTTCATCTAGCAGACATAAATCATCAGTCTACTCACATACCTCAGTGCCCTTCTTAACTTCAAATTGTACAGACAATACCGTACCTGGTTCTGTTAGTAACACAGTGGATATTGATGAATCACACTCCGAACTATCAGCTAATTACTCTCACAGTCAGACATATCACTCAAATTCCATACCATCCACTTTTGACAGTAATGGAAACATTGTCCAAATGCTCACAGCCAACAGGGATTCAGCACCTGTTGGTATGAATAGCAAGGCCAAGAGAACTTCCAAAAATGCTATTAACCCATTGACAAACAAAGTACCACAGACATCAGTAGCTATGCATCACACTCCATCTTCAATTCATCACTTAAGTTCCAYGACATCATGTTTTACAAGTGCTGAGGACTTGATTGCACAAACAAGCATGGCAAGTACCATGTCAACTCAAATTAATGTGGAGAATGTAAACACTGTAAAAACAGTCAGTAACCCTGTAGTACGTCTGAAACCACCATTGACCACACATTATAATGCTCCTTATCATCCAAGCTCCACGTCCTCAAATCCTGTGTCCAAGGGAGTACTTGCATATGATAAAGAATTTCCAGAAATGTTTAAAGAGAAACTAGAGAAAGCAAAAGGGCGTGAAGAGAATAAAGTTTGCATCAGTTCTGGGGCACCAACTTCATCAACAACAACTGCCACAGACCAAGATGAAAATRCACCAATAATGGAAGTAAAAAGCTTACACGGTGCTACCTCTGAAGTAAAGCAGAGAACAACCACACCAACAACAACTGCCACAGATCGCAGTGATAATACTCCAACAATTGAAGTTCAAAGCTTAAACGGTAACACCTCTGAGTTTAACCAAAGTGTAACAACTGCACCTTTAGTAAGGACTAGAGATCGCAATGAAAATACACCAGTGAAAGTAAAAAAACAGAGATTGCGTTTTTGTCCATTAATGAATAGAAAGGATTCAAAGTGCACAGAGAGTGAAGACACAAGATGCCACAAAGAAATTGACTGTAAAATATCCTCAAAGAAAACGATATCGCAAGTAGACAAGCCTGACTCTCATATGCTTTTTGAAAAGGTATCAAATCTTACCAAGAAAGGACATAGTTTATCCTCAGCATTGATTATCTTAGCACAACGCGGTGATATCAGTAAATCTGACGGAAATACACTAGCAAATGAGGGAAGCGTTTTGACAGAAGACCTTCTGCGAAAATTTGTAGTCAGGGAGAAGTTGAGAAAGAAATTTCAAGCTTCAAAGCCCGATAATGCAAATGAGCCTTGTAACATCGTGAATAAAAATGGAGGGATCAAAGAGAACGAAAGCTGCCAAAGAAATAGTCTTAACAAATCTAATGCGAGTAATGGCACTCCGTTACAAGAAAGTTCTGTGCAACTGACAGCAATACTTGAAACGCCAAGTTATACTTCAAAGCATTCATCTGAATGCCTAGCCACACCGCCTAAGGAACTGTTCAAAGATCAGCTGTCAGTGCCTTCATCAGTCGTATCACCATGGTGTAAAGGCACTCAAAACAAGTATCTTTATACCAACAATATAGAACTGAACCAAATCAATGAGCCTTACAGTGAAGATTTAAACGCTCTACCTTTTTCTGACAACTCTGTCCAAAATAAGGGGGTTACCGAGTCTGTCTGGGGAGGTACCCCGTTTGATCATCTGGAATATTATACTGACCCCCCTACTGACCCCCCTTGCTCCCAAAAACAACGCTCAGAGTATACCTTCACAAAACAGGAGCATTGCGACAACCCCACTGTAAGTACAATTACGCAGCCTGAAGAGAGTAATGCTCCTCGAGGAAGTACAAAAGAAAACAAACAATTAATGAACACAGAAGAAACCAATGGAAACCAATCCGATTCCAAAAGAGCAAAAAACGGCTCAACATCCCAGGAGTCTCTTGTAAGCTCAAAGCGCACGCTAGAAACAAAATGGCAACCAGGATTCTCAGCAAAGCGCTCAAGAACGTCTGAACCCAGAACATTTCTTATGTCGGGCTGTCAAGAACAAAACGCAATTGGTAAGTTATTAGTACTATGGTCAATTTGTTCTATCTTTTAGTCCTAACATATCGCTATTACCTATACCTTTTAGACGACAAATTAAGCCATCAACCATTTCTAAAAAGTAATGATGATAAGATAAAACAACCACATATAGTWGAGAATGAACTACAACTGCAAAGGGTAACGCACGATACTCAAGAGGACTCCGGCGCATCTTCCACCACTCCTATTGTTACAGCAGAGGAACACAATACATTCAAGAATTCTTTAGCAAACAGGGAAGAAAGAATCAAGAAATTGTTGGAAAAGCAAAATAATTTACTTTTGAAGATAAAAAACAGAAGCGAGATGGGATGACTGWGAAGTGAATGAATGCTGAGAATTGGAGCAGTATAAAAGTAATGAARTTCAAGTAGAATTAAACGGAAGATACATGAAGAATTGAAGCGGGATGAAATAAGAAGTTGTCTGGTAATGTTCAAGAGGTCGGTAATCCAGGTCAGGTAAGAGCTTAAAAAAGCTCSTTTTAGTTCATCTTCTACTGAGCTTCTTGCACATTATTTGGTTTTATACAATAGTTTTAACAGCCGGATTGGAATATTTTTTTCTTAATCATATTTTCATTAAAGATAAAGGCATTTTTGCATTGAAATTGAATGCCAATAAATTGAAGGACAGACCAACAGCTTRAACCTCCTATAGTTGAACTGTTCTTATAAAGTAAGAAATGAAATATACTGCATCAAGCTATTTTTAAAATAYATTGTCAGTAATTTTTATAATATTTATTATGTTCACAAGTTTGAAGATTTTTTACTTTTCTCACTTCCACAAGAGATGTCACAATAAAATGTTCAGTAATGTTGTGACCACTGGATCAAATGGGGCGAAATATTTTGGCTCCATGAAAGTTTTTTTTTTATTTTGATTTAAATAGTGATTTTAGTGTTCGATATCTGTTAAGTTAAAAGAAAATAGATCTGAGCACTTTCTCGACTATTTGATTGCCAAGAAATAATAAATAGCCAATGAGTTTATTTTATAGTTTCAGATTTCGTTAATTTTAAGTCAAAATACTTTCAAGGCCTAGTGTCCGTCATATACTATAGAAACACGTAAGCGTTGTTAGTTGCGCAAGARGCAAAGTAGGCAAAAGTAATATTTTAAACGTCAATGACGTTTTATTCATCAGTTTTTGAATTGTTATGAGGCGTGGGTTATAATACATGTTTATCGTTTATTCCCAGTTTACGTCAAATCATTACCGGGTGKTTTAGATCATTGTTTAGGAAATTCCTGTTTTTGACATGTCTTTGGTTTGAATTTAATCTTAAGTGGAAGTGGGACAGGTATGATGTGTCATTGATCTACAATAAATATTTACCCTTTTGAAGGATCACAGCATCTGATCATGTGACGATAGTTTCACAGACAAATGTACATTGTTAAGATCTGTGCTACAAAACACGCATATTCATGTTATGATCGTTTTAATTCTCATGACGTCAGATGGATTTACAAAAAAAAAACCGTTTTCTTTTTAAAGTGCCAACGGTTGAATTTCATAGAACAACAGTCACCTTTAGAGTAGATTATTTGCTTTACCATCCATATTCATATATTTTTTTCAAGCGTTTTTTGGACTTTTATTCACAAAGGTTCGAGAATGGGACAAACATTGCTCATTAACATTACATGTGCAATGATTACTGACACAGGCGGCGTGACGCGAAAATTACTGTTAAAGGCATGTAAAGGGAAATTACAACATTCGTGTAAAGCTTGGAAATGAACATGTTAAAAAAAACTGGCATTCCTTTTGTCCAAGAAAGAGACTGCTTTTAGAGTTGACTTTTATCTTAACAATGTCTGCATTGAACTTTTCCGGCTGAATTATATCACTGATTGAATTGATGCGCACTTTGTGCGACGTAATTCCGCCGTTTTGTTGAATATTTTGTGATTTGCGCATTTAAAAGGCCAGTGCCAAACACATGATATAGTTCATCTTACTCACTAAATATTGGACCAACTGTCCGACTTATAGGAGAGAGARGAGAGWGTTATACGGAAAAGTGCTAAGGTTACCGGTTCAATTTGTACAACAGTGACCAAGACAACCAGGCACCTGCTTTGGCCACTTACGTGTCCCGTGTCAAGTTAAACTTRCGCAATTTTAGTTTGCTTAGCAATACAGCCCACGACCATTATTTTAAACGACTGTATTTGCTACCCACTGTATTCTTTTGAAAGCAAYGTGGTATGAATGTGCACATTATTTTCAAGAAATTCATTTCAAAATGTACATTATTTCTAAAATTTTACGAATCAAACACTGRCAGAACTGCAGTTTTCAAGCTTAACAGCAACTTCATCTTACATGATCTGTGGTTTTGGGAATCCTTCTTAATTTCCCATTGAATTAAAGCACTTCCATATAATCCCAATATCGACGTCATTATCYGACTCGGCTTTTTTCGTATGAAATGTTTCGCACGAAACCTAAGGCGAATGAAATAGAAAGACCATGCACTGCACGTTGCTCSTGCGGTTTGTAGATGATCTCTAAAGCTTTTAGCCACGTAATTTAGGTCRGATCGGATAAACCTTAGTTGTTTTTGTGCGCGTTGAACTTTCGAGAATATGTCCCTCCGACTCAGCCCCATTAGTATGAAAAACCAGTTTCGACTTCCGCGTCATTTCAATGTCCTGCTAACACAGAACGCGCTCTGTATGTAAACGGACATTCTCATAGAATAAACTATCCTGTAGACGAAGGGTTCACAGATTATATACAAACGCGTCTGAAATCCAGTTGTCTATGTGGACAGAGCTTTGGGAGGGATTAATGAGTCGGACTCGTCATGGAACTTTGATAATGAATATTCAAAAGTGTTATTATCAAACGTGTTTCCTGCCATGTAGAATGCACTAGATGGATTGAAATAGTATGCAGTGTACGTTCCGCTTTCACCACGTCAAAAYAACAAATATTGATATTTTATTGAATACAAAGTAGTCATAACCAGTAACATGTATAAATAACTTCAAAATGAACGCATGTCATTTTACAGCTTCGAAAAAATTCCATTCATCACTCTGAATATATATAGGTAACAAATAATAAGTACCAGATAAATGATATATTACTAAAAGAGACGTGCGTTTCTCAGCGTCCAAACAACTAACTTTGAARCACAGATATTATCCTCCGATTGTAATCCGATTTTGTAATCATCTGAAACGATGTGATAACAAACATATTGCGCGCATTTCAGTCTTTGGTGTTTCATCTAAGCCCCTCAACGAAAAAAACAAACAAACAAACTACAAACAAACAAACTACACCATTTTGGCATTGATTCGCCGTCCATTCGTTACCGTACAAAGATGTCATAAAAAAATTTGGTAGTCGCTGTCTGCACTTTTCTGTTTTCTTTGTTTGTTTGTTTTTTATTTTTTATTTCCAGTTTCCTTTAGGACGTAGAAAAATTTAATGATATAATAATAATTTGATATTTATATAGTGCCTGGTACTCAAAGCGCTTCCAATGCTAATTAACAATATCAAATGACTATATATGGTGCTACGAAAATACATCATTAGCGCGGCTGACTGTGGACCGCGTGTGACATTTCCAACTTTTATGAGTCATCGACAACTTCGGTCGAATTAGCCAGAAAACGGAATGGAAACAGTATCTTCTAGAATGGTATTCGGGGATATCATGCGATTCTGTGGGCGGTATGCTCAATGATACTGCGGTTAAGCAKTTCGTGACTCCTTGCCAGCGAATTTGTATACCATCCTGGAGTGAAAACATCAAATGAAACAAAATCTAAAAAAGTTAAACAGTCCAATCAAACACGCAAACGGGCTCTCGATTTAGGTTTTACCTAATGTCTATTTCACGGGGTTTCGGTCACTCCGATGCCCGGCCGACTCCAGTATTAAAACCATATAAGCATTTTTCAATGAGAACACATTTTAATATTTAATAAATATCCTCTTATGTACAAATTTAACTCTCGAAGAAAGTATTTTTTATATTTTATATAGACTTTAGTATATATATTTTATTATACACAACTCTCTTGTTATTTGTAGCACACATATCATTATTTCCTCAAAACAGTAACATGCAGCAACACAAAGCGACTACTCTGTAGTTTAAAAAATTCGAACTTTTTTATCAGTTCATAAAACTTGAACTTCTAAAATCATTCTCGTCCGAAACATAAATACTTTTGCTACTTTAGTGTTGCAAACTCACTTGTTACGTAAAATTGAAAAATCCTAGTCAAAACTAGTCCTATTTTTTCATGAATGAAAGTATAGCAACGAAATGAGACTTGAAATGATCAAATCATAATACTAATTTAAAATAATCTTAATTTCCTTGTACTCTTGCAGCAAGATAGTCACAAATATTAAATAAAAAAAACCTAGTGATTACATCAAATCTCATTTCGTTGCTTGCGGTAGAAAATGTCTTCGTGTATAAAATGTTCATGATGATTCATAACCTCGGATGACAGATACGCTCCGGCGTGTGGTCGTCGTTTCACTTATCTTTCTGGCACGTGGAACACTAACGTCATTTGTCAAATCTTCCATTACAGCCACAATGTCACTTTGGCTGCCACTTGATTGTTCGCTTTTAGCCGGTCCCTCGAGGTTAATTCCCTCGGGTACCTTTTCCTCTGTTTCCTGCTCAAGCTTGCGTATCTTCTTAATTAACACAACCTCTAAACTGCTCAGCAATTTTCTTTTCCACTTCATTTGTTCGTTTTCCAGTTTTTCTCGAGTATTGATAAGTTTTTTACAAAGTTCGTCCATGTTCATAGTTTTCTGTCGGCCTGCAATGGCCTTGTTGGTAATTTTCTTCAAAGATGGGTTCTGAGGGTTATTTTTGACTTGTTGTGTAATGTAGTACAGTAGAATTTCTTTGTAGTTTGAAGGTTTCCCATTAGCATCTAATTGTAGCGGTGGCATATTGTGAATGTCGGCTTTTGGGACTGATGGAGAAACGTTATCGACTCCACGTTTCAAAACTTGAGTAACGAAAACGTCATCATCTGATTCAGAAGGCTCTTTTATTGAATTTTCCTGTAAGAAAATAGGAGCAATGATTAGATTCGGTAGCATAAATGTATAACTCGTATTATGTGTTATGTATATATTTGATTTCATTGGGATGGATGACGTTCTGAGATGATTATATCCTAGATTAAAAGAATAAAAGAATAACGTGGTTTATCCGTTGTTTCGCATAGCGTAGGCATTGCTAATATCACAAGAATACCGGTTTCCGTAGTTATTGTTTGTATTAAAAAGAATAAAGGTACTATTGTGAAAACGGAATTATAATATTCATTGAGAGAAAACTCGAAACAAAAATCTCTACTTGGGCTATATTTTAAGGGCGTTCATTTGATGAATATTGAAAGGATTRCAATATGTGTCTACCTGTTTTGGAAGGCCATAAGCTTTCAAATCATCAGGAGTCATAACTTTAAGCAAGCCTTCTCCCTCGCGTGATAATTCATCTGGAATAGACTCGGGGCTTGGTGGCCACCATTTTTCGTCCTTAACGGGGCATTTTTCAACGGGACTTAGCTTTCCAATGGTTTTGTACGATGAGCCAACTAGCGTTGCTGCGATATTTTTAGGTTGTGAACGTTCTTTTTCTGGGTGACATTTCCGAGGAACAGAGTGTATTCCAACGACTTTAGGTAGAGTTTGGTGATCAATAGCGACCCCTCCATTTGAACCATGAAATGTAAAATTTAAATGTCTTTTTGAGGTAAATTGACAATCGCTAGCGTCACTGGAAGCCATTTCTGCTTTATATTGTCCATTATTACGTTCTTTCGGACGATAAAAAGAGTTATAATCGTCCTCGTCAATGTAGCAATTTCCTTCTTCGTCGTGGACTTTGTTTCCATCCTTGCTCCGCACTAAAATGCTCGAGTTGAGTTGTGACATATGCATATTCCTTTCAGCTTTTGTYTTGCTAACAATGCCTCCTGATCTCAGAACACTATGTCCTGAAGGTGGCTTTACACCGAGTTTTTCAAGAACCTGTTGATAAACCCAATCCTTTTTCAAAGCAAGACTCTGCTTGATAAGTGTCATTTGAAAGTCAGCCTCGGATATTTCCTCCTTCATGAAAAATGGCGTCACGTTGAACCGTTTTCTTTTTTCGGTACTCGGGCCAAGACAGGCATCACTCTGCGAAGGCCTTTTCATTCCTGGCTTGCAATCTTTCAATAAACTGAGGCTATTCTTTCCTTCGATGGCTGAGATGTGCAGACTAGATTTTTCATACGACGAAGGAAATCTTGTATGAGGAAAAACCATTTCTGTATCTGTGGAAAGCGAGTGTTGTTCGGTCGGCAAAGACTCGAGTTTTTTCACTGTAGAGATCTCTAAGACAGACGCTGTGAATAAAAATAACGAAAGGTTAGAATAATACCACATAGAAAAACTAATATTTGGTGTAAAAATCGAAATCAGAGAAATCGATTTGCCTATAAAGCCACTGACATCGCATCCATGAACACACATCGCATCCATGAACACACATCGCATCCATGAACACGGACAAAGAAACTGCTCAAAAAAAACTTACTTTGTCTCCAAATCCTACGGCAAAATAAACAAAAATACACTCTGGCTGACAARGAATCAATACTCGGTGTAGTCGAGCGAGGTCTATGATCGAATGAATCTATCGAGCGCTCCGTGCTCATTTATATGCGGTCTTAGACATGTACGTGTTTCTAAACAATATATTGTTATTCTGACGGGTCACGTACTTGGTCGACCAACCACTGGCAAACGTGCTAGCCACTGATGGTCAAATGTCTCTTGATGGTACTGATATCGCGTTCTTCTACTTCATTCTATATAAGAGCTTTCATATAGCAGACAGATATCCAAAGAGAATTAAAAAAATGTGTGTTTTCGATAAATATAAGAAAAACATTGTCACGAAAATTCAAAATCCTAATAGGTCACCGATTTATAATTCTTTAAASGCGCAGTTTGAGTTCAGCCTTTCTGTTACAGTAGTATGCTTAATTTTGTCCAGGCAGATTTATAAAGTATATAGTTGTTTTCCACAAAGTGTAGACATTTATCCGTACTAAAATATTTTCAAATAATATGAGAATTGAAATGTAATCTTTGGCCATGGCCCATAAAAATTCTCATGCAAACTGACGTGCAAGGAAATGAATTTTTACAATAGCGTTGGTTGGAACTCGATGATTTCCGTGTCTTAAATGTTTCCTTTTGCTCATTTTCTAGGACTTACACATTATGCAAGAGGTTTTGCTTAGGAGAATCTTACCGCCATCTGTTCGCTATCCATTTACACAGCTACTTTCAGRTCAAATTTATCGAACTCGTACGCTGTCAGACGGTCAAAACCCACCCTCTAAAAAAAGAAATTTCAATTTATATCACCCACATTTGCTAAACATTCAGAATCGCTAAAAAGAAGAGGCTTTGATTGGATACCTTATTCATGAATAATTCACAACAGAATTTCCATGGCAACAAGCCTGAATGATTGCTTAAAAACGTACTTGTCTTACATAATCCCTGTTATTAAAAACCATTTTAAAATAAATCCACCAGACWTCTTGCTATCGAATTTCCAGCAGCAATACTTAACAAAATAATTTTTGATAATATGCGATTCCGATTCTATTGAAATGTTGTAAAAGAGGTTTMTGCAATTATTAAATAATAGGGATATAATGATAACGATTCTTGCGTTTTCCGCTGTTAGTAGGACTATTTGTTTTCTTAAACTAAGCTACACAGTCAGTAATTACACATATCACGAGATTTTGCAACTTCATTTTTTTCTCAATTAGTCCAGATAATTAAGAATAATGCTAAAAATGTRTTTTATACAATAGAAAGTAGGCTTTAGTATGCAATCCCTGATGCACTGAAGAACCTGGAGAAAACAGCCAAAGTTTTTGCTTTAAGTAAAAGTGATTTTTTTTATCGACACTCGCAAGTACTTTGCCTGCAACTGTAACAATTACTTGTCAAAATTACTTAAAATGCATAACGGTCAAGTGATCGTTCATGTTGCAATCTGCAAACAAAACWAATCGGTCTACGTGACTACGTGACTGTATTGTATGCACTTTGTCTTTGTAATCGCCTTGGGTCAAATAAAAATACTCCATATTGTTTACCATGTAAAGAATACAGTGGCGCATCTATTATCACTCCATGTRAAKGTCTCAGGCCTATTAGCTTTAYATCACATTCAAGGCTGTTTCCATCGAGGTACATGGAACTTTATGCCACCAGTAAATGCGGTTTTTACACGTATCTGCTCATRTATATTCTGTCAAGCTTGCCATAAATCTGTYCGACCGTGACGTGGTTGAAGCTATTTTTGTGCAAAGTTTAAGGAGCAGCTGAAGTTCAGAAGCAGACGTGCGTTGGCGTSCCGGTTGGCGTTGAATATATCACTATATATTTTATTTTTAATGATAATAATTTGTAATAAGATCTGCCATAACTAATTATCAACCATAGATTCACCATAAATATGTGGTAAAAAACTCTTTAGCGTGAAGATCATAATTTTGAAATACTAGTAGTTCTTTTGCTTTGACAACTTGAAATGCGCCTGAATTTTATGTTCGTGAAGAATCTTTTCGAATCGTGTATTTCTACTTTCGAATCGTTTTGATTTTATCCTATAACAAGTGTTTTTTTTTTTTTACAAAAACTTTCGAAACTAGACATGAAACTTCACAAAACCCCACGTAAATTTGTTTACCGTTTAACTTCAAAGCTTATGCACGTGATTTCACCATTTAGGCGGCAAAAATAACGCGTTTTTGCGGGTATTAATTAAGCGAACTATGGGGGGTTTAAAATCACCTAAACACCTCGATATTTATACGAACCAATGATTGAGTGGCAGCTGTATTTACCATCAATGCTTTGCGGCGCGTACGTGAAGTTGCGTTATCAAAGTTACGATCACGATCTTGAAGTCGTTTCATTGCAATATTAAAGAGTCCAAATTGATTAAATTTTCTTTCGGAGTTGTTTGTTGATTCGTGTAAATCTCTAGATTATTTATAATACTGGCGCCATCTGCAGCCAAGTTAAAGAGCAAGAAACGGCATCTTTAGATGAGAAAGTCATGCTCACGTTTTAATACAAAACACTGCAACGTGGGTTGAGAATATGAAATTATAAAACGTTCATGTTTTGAAAAAGAACGAAAAAGCACTGAATTGAATATATATGTGAATATATATATCACATATATATGGAACAAGATTACTGCCGGAAAACTGACTAATTTTACATAAAATATAAACATGACATTTGGACGGTTGAATCAAATATATAACATGGTCGATTTGTACTTATTGAAAACCTTAAATTAGAATTTAACATAGGTTTTCAAATGCCTAAAAATAACAAAGAATTAAACACGATAGTCTACCTATGATGACAGTTATCTAATGAGGATAGAACTTAATTTCACAAGGTTAGTCACGTTTCGAAAATTAGTAATGAGTTAAAAAAAGAAAAAAAAATATGACATCTACGAGTAAGAATGTGACTGATTCAAAGAACATCAAATGAAATACAATAAAAACACGAGATAAAAACTCTAGTTTTGACAATTTAAGCACTATGAAATGTTGCAGCTGTATTGTGATGATTTTCGATTTCTTGACAACTCCTAATCAAAGTACCAATACTTAAYCGCCGTATTCCATGTAATGAATATGTATATACACGTTTTCAGGAAAAGTGGCGATGGGAAATCTTTACAATAGAAGATGTCTTGCAGTAGAACAGCTATAAGGATCTATGATAAATACAGATCGCGAAGCAAAACCCTGGTGWTCAAGGCGTAATAGTTGAATAGTCTTTAAAAATTGGCCTTAGAGGTTGCTAGTCAACTAAAATAGCTATCCATACAAACAAGTATTTTTATAGAAACTTACCACACTTCATTAGAACGTATTCAAGCAACCAATAACATGGGCACRGAAATAACTTCACGACCTTCGCGTTCAAAACGATATTGGCCGGCTTTACACTATTGATAATGAATGAAACACTAATCTACTTATAAGCAACCTTGATTGAGTTGTTTTTCACAAAGAAAGGTGGACAATTCTGGGACGCTTTCCGAATGGCTACACGACCTACAGCATTCGTAACACTCAAACGGAAGTGATTTTACCGGAAGTTGTGTAYCGTGACTCGTGGCGGCAGGTTCATGGACCTGTTATTGTGTCACGAACAAGGAAAATGCCTTTTCTCCCTTCGTGAAAAAATGCCATCTACGGCTGGGATGCTTGAACGACTAACCTCAAGAGTAAATAACTCCGATTAGGTGAMTTGTGTAACACGTTTTCTTTGCCATACCGCATCGCGCTGAACKGTATATTTGACTAGTAATGGCCAAATAAAACAAAGCCCCAATCTGTTTTTTTTTCCTGGGATGTTATATTTTCACGTTCGGATCTGGAAAAGTTCTTGTTAAACATTGTTTAAGTAGGGCAAATTTTATACCTCTCTGGTGTTCGTAAGTGAATAACATATAAAGAGRGACAGTGGCTCGTGTAAACTCAGCTTTAAAAGAAAACGAAAACGATTTCAGCGCTGCCCCCTAGTGAAATATTAGACCAACAGCGGTCACAGAGGAAATGTTTTACAACGTCTTAAGAAAAGATAACGAAATCTTTAAAGATTAGTTATTTAGAAATGTTTTCATAGAGGTAAAAATAGMTGTAGCACTCGGCCTCAGGGCCTCCCTCCTCCACAATTGAAATGAATCGTGTGCATTATCAATAKATATTGGTAAAAWACTGACTTATCACTATAAACAATAACAAAMATTGGTGTTTCTTCGCTTTTCGTGTTCACTGRGGTTAATTATGGTGGAGCTGAAAATAGGCGGCCCTAATATGCTAAATCATAAAATTCTATTATTACGTCTTAAATCCTTTTTATGTGCATATATTATTTTCATTAYAAGATATATTTTTCCTTAACAAAGTGCTTCCCACTGCTAAAGTAGAAGATTCAGCGTAGGATATCAAAGTTTCGCAAGTTGACCAAAATCGTGTTTTATATCAGTTTCGAGGTAACGTTCTTGTTCCTGATGTAAATGGAACTATTTGTGACATTCCTAGATGTTTTTTCTGTGTTTCGTTAGTCAAAATCCTTTCTTCCGTGACTGAGCATCGAAAAGTCAACAGAGTGGTCCACTGATGACTATTAAATATGCATGAGCTCTTTCGCTTTGAATGACAGAAGCAAGAGCAAAAAGCCTTGAATGTTAAAATTGATATCTAGCAATCATTAGATGGATAGAAGTCCTATTCCCGCCCTTGTACTTGGAAGGTGGCTAGGAGAACATTGACGTATCCCTTGAGACACACAGAAACTGATAGACATACAAGCTAAAGATACACCAATCTATTGTTATTCAGTACAATAAATTGATTATTTCACAAACGATAGAAATACTTGCAAGTATTGAATTTAACACGTTGGCTCCATATGAGGTGTCAAGACTTACACATTTCTAAATTAACGGCTTTTAGCTAAATTCTAAATGTACYATAATGAGTTTTGGATACTTTGAGCGAAATTGGACAAAGAAGTGAAATAGAAAAGAACTTTCCTTGAACCTGATACCCGCAAGTCTTCACCTTTAATACAAAAACCCGCAATATGTTATGAATCAGTACCTTTATAKCTGTTATTWGAAGGAATTCTCCGGACACGAATTCTCTTGGCTCTTCTTTCRCGCTGAACAATCTGTGCTTCCTTGTTCATTTTGCTGCAAGGTRTGATGACTCTACTATGCTACTGCGAATTCATCTAACATGCTCTTACGGTTCAGTGTCTATATCTCTCAATCGCTCTAGTGCTTCAACCAATCAGAGCTCAGCAAGGGAGCTTTTGCGTGTTCACGATGGTGAATTGACAGTCGGCAACATCTGATCACCCGCTACGTTTTTACGCGCGTTGCACGAACGTTGTTTAAAAATACACMAACTTCACAAAAACCAAAACCAATGTCAATAAAAAAAATTATTCAATTTTRTGTTGTGCTTTTTTGTAATGGTGGATTACTAGAAGAATAAARGGATTTTCCGTGACATGTGTGTATGAACTCCCTGAAATATTGCTATGATTGTTTCATTGTCCTCGCCAATTTGATTACTGGTGATAAAGTTTAACGACTACARTAATATTATATATTATACTAATATTCAATTAATGATATTCCTTTCTCAAAAAAAGGTTTCTTTGTTGTAGACTCCGTGAGAGAAAAAAAAAACTCTTRTACTGTTTTGCATGCAAAATCAMTTGTGACACTTTCTTCCGGGCAATTATTTTCTTATCCTGCGTTGCTTATCAATCATAGTTCCTTGCTGGTGATTTGGTTTTGTTGCAAGACCAGCAATTCCTGCAGTGTAGGGCATCTAAGTACAATGTTTTTAATGATAACATACATGATTTTTAGTTAGATCAGTCACGAAATGAGCTTAAAAAAAGCTAGATACAAGATATCAAATTTACTATCAACGAAGCTTTCATCTGAGATAACTGACACGCAACCACYTCTAGAAAGAACAGTGTGTTCAATTCAACCACCATACATWGAYATCCAGGAAGAGACGATTGWAAAGGACCATTAAATTGYATTGTATATGATCATGTTTCAAATGAAACGTGCGATTCGTTCTAGTCTGTTCTTTACGGGTAAAAAAGGCCCTTCAAAATGACAAGGAACCCAACTGAACGCTTGCCACTTTTCTTTGCCACTTGTCAACTAATTAGTGGAAAGCACAGTAGCYACCGTGCCTAATCGACACAAACAAAATAAAAATTTCACGTAAAAAATGAGAATGAATATTCTACTAAAACCACTGAGGGAAAAACATGCTTCTTTCTCACCTACGCGAAATAATGTGGCTTCACTTTAAAAGACTTAGGGAAAACGTACTGTTTTCGTATCAAATCGCAGAGTTATCATTCGAAAACTATATAGATAGTCGATCTTTCTCATCAAGACGAGCACACACAAGGATTGTTTTCATTATTTCTTGACTATTGGCGAGTCGAACTGAACGCAACTGAATTGAAAAATCCCTTTCGTTTACGTCTGCCAACGGATCGCCGACGATGAATTTATTTTTAATTCATTTTCTTAATTTCTAATTTTTGTAATGCCAGCTTTAAATTTTCTGAAATTATCGGGACCAAATTGGCATAATTGTGAAGATCACTATAAATTAAAATTCCAATCGATGTTCCAAAGAGACGTATGTCAGAAAAATATCTAATTAATACGACTATTTCATCGGCGACTCCGATAACACTACTGGTACTTCAGCGAGCGATCAACACTTTTTGTTTGCTGTTAATCATCATTTAAACTTTATATAAGAAACAAGTACAAACGTCAAACAAAACCAACTTTCAGCTGCTCCCTTTTTTTCTCCACCTTTTTATAATTAACCCTCGATCAGTAAACACCATTAGCGATAACAGGGTCACGTGTAACAGTTTTGTGCCGATACTGTTTATAAATTCACACACGTACTATCACTTAACCACAACCTCTACTGAAAACCGTTTTAATTCAGAGAAGCAAAAAGTCACATGAAACTTGAAACACTATAGGAAAATAGACTTTTTCATTATTTCTTTCTATTTTAATTATTCCAAAATTATCGTCTGTCTTAGAGCTCTATCCGGCTTTTCAGCCTCTATAGATATAACTAATCGTACATTGATGATTATAGTTTATCGATTTTTCTTCATATGGAATTTACAATTTTTTTCATCCTCTCAGTCAGTTTTTCTATGCTTTTCTCTTAGTTTCCTTCTTTTCAATTTCAACCTTTTCTTTCACTCTCATTTCGTCTCCATTTATTTCTTTAATAAAGAGAGATGAGTTTACAACTCGTTCAAACGCGCGTAAAACGGGTAAATACCAGTTATAAAGCACCCATAAATGAAAAAAAATGCAAAAACGTGACATTTTGCTCCGCTCATCTGTGTAATGCCATTTTAAATTCTTTGCATATTAAACCACGCACGTTCATAGTAACATCATAGCGTCATTTCTCTTTTTAAAATATTGACTTTAATCGCTGGAATTGATGCCTTTTTGGCACGTCGTTGAGAAGCGGATTCCGTGACGGTAATTTTTTAAATGGACATGAATAGAGACAGTCACGATCTCACTATATCTTAATCAGTCACTTCATATCATGTGCCTTTATTAAGGTGATCATGACACCTCTAAAGTATCAATAAGATATCGGTTATCTACGAATTACGGATTGTAGTCCTTAGAAATGTAGAAATGTGAGAAATCTAACACCAATAACTGCATGGGCGGAACAGACCTTTCAAATTGACTGCCGGTCTAACTATCACTAACTATGGTCTCATCAAGGCTGCTTCAGCAAAAGTTCACGTATACATATGAAATGTAAGCTAGATGTGCTGATGTGAATATTCGATATTTTAGAGTGTGTATTTAATAACATAATTTTTGCGGTTTCTTATAGACCCAGTTCGTGACGATGTTTAGTTTAAGTTTCGAATCGTGACAACTGCTCTCACCTGTGGTCTCTTATAAAGGGTGGTAAAACCAAATGCTGCTGGCTTGCATCATTTCTCATTGTTTACCTTGCATGTTATATCCAAATTTTTTACCCCGATTCGTGGACCTGAAAATTTTATTGTACCACAACACCGTAAATATAGAAAAGTTGTTTGTTTGTTTTATCGATTGTTTCGCTTTCCTAAGGCCTCATAGATCGATTCGTGAATTTTCCCGCCATAAGTTGCGCGTGAGCAATATCTGTATTTTTAGTCTTAGTCAACACTCTCTGATAAATTTCAAAGTACGTTACACTCTTGCTCCCAATCTTTAATACTATTTTGGCATAATTCAGTCATTAGTGAATCTGTGAAGACATGTTGAAGCGGACGGCTTTCTCCTCGAAAGCCTTCAAAGGCCTTATGTTTCTATATAGTAAAACAACGTCTCCGTTATCTGRTGACAAAGCTCATGCTCAACCACTTATAGTTATTAATGAACGGTCTATTTTTACACTCCTTGGATTTACTCGTGACTTATCWCACGATACTAAAAAGTTTGAAGTGGGCTTTAGTGTGGTGACTCTCTAGAGGGAGGGGTAGGAGGGGATAGGAGGAGAACATATTGAGACTTCATAGTGAAGCTCTCATAATACTTTTCAATTTTCTATCTTTAGCTATCTAAGTTATTAATGAACCAACTTGTGGCCGTTTTATGGGCTATGACTATTCTCGCTAGAGAGTTTAAGCATCACGTTTACGGCAAACGGCTAACGGCAGAGCTGAACCAATGACCTAAGAATTTCGTGCCCGACCTTGTGCTTTTGGTAGTCATTTGAAAGAGCGGCTTTTCAGAATTATGGCAAACTAAAAAAAACACTTTGGTGTTGAAACTGTAACGGTAAACCCTCAAAAAGCAGGTCACGTGGTCTTTTCTGCCGTTTGCAGTTTGCCGTAAACGTCATGCTTAACCTCTTTAATAATATGGTGACAAGTTCCCGCGGAAATAGTTGACCATGTTTATTGTTGTCATGA